GGGTATGAGGCCTGTGGAGAGCCCTTCCAATGGCTTCCCCAACCCCCCCAATGGCTCCCCATACCCCCTAGTCCCCCAAGACCCTGCCAGAAGCCCCATGCCCCCCTGATACCCTCCATGGCTCCCAAATACCCCCCTAACATCCTGAGATTCCACCTGGTCTCCCAAGGATCCCCAGCCACTAAAGACCCACCCCCTGAGCCCCACAGGACTCTGCCAGACCTCCTTAGGGCGTTAAATAAGTAGGAGACCCCAACCAGAGGGGCTGGGGGTCAGTAGAGTGTAAAATCATCACAGCTGTCAAGCAGTTTTAGGCCCATCTAAGAAAATTTGGGGATTTTTTTTTCTTTACTGACAACCGAATGGTGTTTTTACTAGGGTTGAGGTTCCATCCTGAAAGTTGAGCCCAGCCCTTCTCACCCAGCAGAAGGGCCGGGCCTGGCAGCAGAATTCCATCTACATGAAGGTACGTCAGTAAAAAAGTGCATTGGGGGAAAAATATTGGATTGTCTGGGAAATTATTTGATGGTCAGTTAAAAAAATGGATTGTCTGGAAAAAGCTACCAGGAAAAAATATTAAGTGTCAGGAAAAAATGGACTTAGTAAAACGGTTTGATTTGATTATCAGAAAACATCTTGATTGTCAGTAAAAATGTTATCAGTAAAAATTGTGTGGTCAGTAAAAAGTCTAATCAAGAAAAAGGATTATCAGTGAAAATGTCTGTTAATAAAAAAAGTTGGACGATCACTTAAAAATGAATGCTAATAAAGAGTGTTTTCAGTAAAAAGGTAGTTGATACAAAAAGATTGTTAAGAAAAAATGTATCAGTAAAAACTGATATCCGTAAATAAAAGTGTTGAGAAAAGCTTGATGGAAAAGTAAAAAAAATGGAATCTTGGTTAAAAAGTCATTATCAGTAAATACATGATTGTCACTAAAAAGTTTGGTTATTGGTAAAGCAGTTTGCTAGTGAAAAGATGATCAGCAAAAGACTGGTTTGAGAGTCAAATGCTTATCAAATAAAAATGTTGGACTATCAGTAAAAAAAGTTGGTCAGGATGCAACATTGATTAACTTTAATCTTTTGATTGTCATTAGGAAGTTTGATTGTAAAACAAAAACAAATTGGGTTCTATGTAAAAAGCCATTACCTGTAAAAAAGTGTCTCTGCAAAAATATCTGTAAGAAAGACTGTCAGTAAAAAAAATAAAAAATCGGGTGGTGGCAGAAAAGTTATCAGTAAAAAAACCTGTCAGTAAATATATATAAATATATATATATGTATGTATTAGTAAAAAAATTGGGTTTGTCAATAAAAAAGTCAGTAAAAAAGAGATCAGGAAATAATTGGATGGTTGGTAAAAGTTTGTCAGTAAAAAAAGATTGAAGGTCATTAAAAAAAAAAAAAGGATTGTTAATAAAAAAATTTCCTTTGATTTTCAATCCTGGAGCTAGGGGCTAGGCTCAGGACCAAAGCTCAAGGTGTTGTGGGGGGAGGGTGGGGGGCTCACCTCCATCATCGCAGGCTGGCATCTCCCCGTCCCAGCGGCCTGTGGGCAGGCAGCGACGCAGGGCACTCCCGCGCAGGGTGTAGCCATCACGGCACTCGAAGGTGAGCTCAGAGCCCACGAGATAGAAGGTGCGGCGTGGCCCCACAGTCCCATGCTCGAACTGCAGCTGTGGTGGGCACCGCATCTCTGCCCCCCAACCCCATGCAGAGTTATTGGGGGATCCAGGCATCTGAACACCCCACTCTCAACAATCCTGAAACCCAGAGCTGAAAGAACCCAGGTGTCCAGGTTCCCAGCTGCCCCACTCTCACCCCTCAGGCCCCAACCCCCACCCAGAGAACCCAGGTATCTAGGCTCCCACCCCCACCCCCTCATCCCTGCCCAGAGAACCCAGGTGTCCAAATCCCAGCTGCCCCACTCCCACCTCCTGGCCCTCACTCCTCTCCCAGAGAACCCAGGCATCTGGGCTCCCAAGCCCGCCCCCCCACTCCCACCACCCAACACCAGTCCCCTTACAGAGAACCCAGGCGTCCAAGGGGAGCTGCAGTACGTACTGCGGCAGGTGGGGGTGGGGTTGTGGGTGCTGGAGGAGGTACGCAGAGGGGTCCAATGCCCACTGGGTTGGCAGAGGCGGCTGGGCTGGGGGTAGGGGTAGGTGCCAAAGGGGCACAGGTAGGTGAGGAGGCTGCCTGGGCGCAACCCATCCGACAGGCTCACGTTGCCCCCCTGGATGCCCACATCCCCACTGCACTGGGGGGACTCAGCTGGCAGTAGGGGCTGGGCCCCAGAGCCTGAGGGGAGGCAGGCAGGCAGGTGAGCCCCAGGCATCAGGGCTCCTAGCCCCCCTGCTTCCACCCCCCCTCCTCTTCCAAGGAACCCAGGCGTCCAAGTTGTCAGTCCCCCTTGTTCTCAGCCCCCCCTCTCCCCAGGGAACCCTGGCATCCAGGCTCCCAACCCCACCTGCTCTATCTACTACTGCCACTCCCCTCCCAGGGAACCCAGGCATCTGGGATCTCCGTCCCCCTGCTCTCACCCCAACCCACACTGCCACCCCAGAGCACCCAGGGGTACAGGCTCCCAGTCCCCCCCCCCTCCCCCGGCCAAAAATATCTTGGGGTGTCCCTAGCTGGACCTCACCCCCCAGCTGGGGGGCTGAAAGGGGGACCCACATCCCCCTATACCTGAGGTGAGGATGAGAAGCAGGAGGGCACAGAGTGGGGGGACCATGGCAGGGCAGGTCCTTCAGCCCTTCCCGTAAATGCCTTCTGGGTTAATGGGTACCCAGGGGTTGACTGACAGTCTGGCAGGGAACCCAGGTGTCCAGGCTCCAGCTGGCTAGCCCTCACTCCCTCTTCCCAGAGCTGGCAGGGAACCCAGGCGTCCAGGATCCACCTCCCCATCCCTGCCCCCCCGAACCACCCCACTTCCCTCAGAGCTGGAGAGAACCCAGGTGTCTGGGTTCCCAGCTGCCCCTGCTCTCACCCCTAGCCTGCACTGCCCTCCAGGAGAACCCAGGTGTCTAGGCTTCCCCCTGAAACACACATTCGGGTCCAGGCTGGGGTCGGACCCCCGGGGGCAGAAGCCCTGGAGGCGGGGATGGGAACTGGTGGGGGGGCTTGGAGGGGGTGACCCAGCCCAGCTGCCTCGTGGCTGTGCCCCATGTCTGTATGCACTTATGTGACCCTTATCCTGGAGTAAGGTTGAAGTAGACACATGGATGGGCACTTTAATCCAGATTACAGATGCACAGAGACTGAAGCCCAGGGTAGTTGTGGGTTAAACCTAGACTAGACACACAGATCGGCCCAATAATCTGGATTAAAGACACACAGACACTTGAGGCCAGTGTAGACCTGGGTTAAACCCAGAGTGGACACACTGACAGGTCTGTTAACCTGGATTAAGGACAGATGGACACTGAGGCCAGTGCTGATGTGGTTAACCCTGGTGCAGACACACAAATGGGCTCTGTAATCTGGATTAAGAAGACGCGGATGCCTGGAAGGACAGACAATGGGAGAAGAGACACCTCTGAGCCCGAGCTCCGTGTAAACATGGGTTAAACTGAGAGTGGACACATGGATAGGCTACTCTTCTCCATGGATTGGG